AGCTCTGAACCCACAGAGGTTCTTCCAGTGTAATTGCTCTGGGCACGTTCAGAATTTTCAAATCAGCTTTCACACGACTGTAATTGGGGGAAATCTGTGCGGCAGCAAAGGAAACGGGCACTGCATGGCTTCCAGAAGACAAACACTAGTTTGGTTGAGAGTTGCAGCTGCAAAGGCCAAATACAGTTAATTTTTACATTCTCTAGGCTGGAGGCGTCCAGCCTCAGAGTGCCAGCAACAGTCCGGTCTTGGGCAAAATACCTGCAACTGTCCAAAGCATCCATTGTAGCAGTCGGGTGTCAGGATGTATTTCAACCAAGTCCCCAACACTCCAGACCTAGGGTGTACCACTAGCACCATCCAGACTAGTCTAAGCCACTGAAGAGCTCCCTTCTATGAGAGAAATCTTTTAAGGACTAGAGATCTGGTTCCTAACACATAGCTGTTATACCCATCACACACATCCTTACTGCTGTAGAAGAACAAAGAAAAGTCAGGACTAAGAACAAACTGAACATGGTTAGTAAAAAAATTTCCAAAGAGTGTGTGAGGACCATAGCCATAATTTTTAAATCCGCACGCTTTTGCAGAACAGTAACTATCTTTGGCTCTGAACCAGAATAGCGTTCAGGGTAGAAGTTTCACTGTTTTGTCCAACTGGCGTGCACAAGTGAAAGTGAACCTTGGCAATTTCTTGCTCAAATTCTTCTGTACGCTACAGCATATATACTGGGATACTCAAAGCTAACTTACAAAACTAGTTTCATGGTTTAGATAAATATTAAAAATAGTTGCTGACAAGTTTAAGGGTTATCGGCATCACAACCATAAAGTCAAATTGTCACCTTATTCCTATCAAGCCATGAACACCTCAGAAAAAAACATCAAAAAAGAAAATCACTAAGTACAACCCGATTAAACTGTGCTTGCTAGACAGGCAGGAAGAAATCACAGAGCTGAAACCTCCTGGCTGGTTCACTTTCCTGGCACGAGAACAAGCACAGGGCGAACTGGGACAGCCACATCCAAGGAGGGCGAGTTCACTTCAGAGCCAACAGGCAAAGCGTACTCATTAAAACCATCTCCTTGGGTTTTTCCAGTGAACCCTCAAAATAAATGCTGCTGCAGCATTTATTGAACCTGCCCACAACTTGCCTGGGCCAGGACTCCACACCCAAAGAAGCATTAAAGTCTCAGACATCACTAAATTGGGGATTGACAGAGTCTTTGCTAACTAATACAAATGGAACCAGCTGGTGACAAAGAGGCTTCTTGAGCCTCTTTTAAAATCAGTGAAGTGGAAAGCTGCTCACTGCATAGAGAATCACCTAATAAACTCATTAGATAACCAATTAACAGCTAACTAATAAAAACAAAGGAGTCCCACTCCCTGGAAATTACAAATCCAAACCAAGTCTGCAGGCTGGAAGCTCTGCTTATTTTTTATCCCAAATCCAAAGTTTCCTCTCCAAGTATGTTTTGTACCCATTCCTTCAACCAACCAACAGCTTCCACTTTTCTTTCAAAACACAGCAGCAAAAGAAGAGAATACCAAGAATAATTTTGATGAATGCAGCATTTCCTCTACAGCTGAAAATCTGGCTTTAGTGTCCTTCCCACAATTTTTGCCAACATCCTATCTCTAAAAGGACATCTTCATCCGCAGTCCACATGTGATTAACCACCCCCCTCCTTGCTGAACTGTCACCACTGGACAACAAAGAAGTCATGATTCACACCACGCTTTCCATGGCTATTAGCTCAAATACATCCTTATGGGGGAGGGACGAGGGGGAGAAGGAAGTGGAAAACTCATGTTTGGTCTCTGCTTCCAGAACTGTGTTGGTGTTTTAATCTTTTCCAAGTAAAAATCATGAGAAGGTATCCTTCCCTCCCCAAAGGCAACTATCTAAGCACTGACGACCACAAGCTGTAACTGCTTCCTACAAGGGAGAAGACAGCATCACACACATCATTCTCAGAGCATGGCTGCTGGCACGGGCTCCTTGCGGGACTTGGGCACCAGGACTGAATTCTAGATCGCAGTCAGAAATACACACAAGACGGACACCGAGCCATCCAGGCTGGGGCAGTCCCAGAGGGATACCGAAGCACAACTGGAGGTATTTAAGGACACTCCAGAATCAAGTAAGAACGTGCCCGTCCCACTCAAGAACTGGTTAAGCAGCAGGTGAACAGGGCATTTAAAGAAGAAAAAAGAAAAAAACAAGAAAAAACACAAACAAAATTTTGCACGATATCCAACAAGACTGCTCTGCTACATGAGGGTTCACCCACATTTTGTTTTGCATGTAAGCTGCTGCCCTGCAGGGTGCTTCAGGCAGCTAGCCTTGCCCTGCCAGCATCCCCAGCTTCAGGTCATAGAAAGAGCAGTCCAGCCCCACCTCCCCACAACAGGAGTCAGCGTTAAGTCTTGCAGCCAAACTCCACAACCAAGTTTTGGATCCTTAAGTTGTTCTCGCAGTTTTAAAGAATCTAGTTTGGTTTTCGGTTTTTGTGGGGTTTTTTTGTTTGGTTGGTTTTGGGGTTTTTTTGGTTTGGTTTTTTTTTACTTCTTTAAACAAATGCCCACGCCCTGCTTCAAAAGGTCTGCCTTTTAATAATGGGGGCAAAACGAGAAGTATCTTTATATATATGTAGGGATGATACGCTTACTACAAGTAAGAATATGTATGACGTAAGTATGGACAAGTTCTCCAAGACAGCTTCACAAATATCTGTTCTGTTTTGGGGGTTTTTTTTCCTCTATTTTTATTGAAACTTTGTACAGAAGTTTTAAACATTTCCATACAATACTTTTAGACAGGACAAAATGCCATGGTAAAGGAATGTAAACTGCAAGAAACACAGTCTGAAGTATCCAAATACTCTCTAATAAGAGTTTTAGTTTGAAGACTAATGCAGTAGGCAAAATAATATGCATACAGTATACAAAGAACAGTATACACAGGGCCAGCAATGCTAACTATGAAAATTTTGCATCAGATTTACTTAAAAGATTTATAGCAATATGATAATTCTATACACTAGACCAAAATTAATTTATCATACATCGTTTCTATGACAAAAAGCTTGTCATTATGGACAGTAGCAACTTACAATATAATTAAGCTGTATTAATCTCATTAACATTTCTAAATCTATATTCCTACTACAATAATTTTTTCAGTATATTGTCTTATTAGATCTTAACAGACCTTTAAATAACACTTTACCAAAAGAGACCTGGATCCATTATAGTGATCTTATCTACATGCCCATTTGGCTTATTTCAAAAAAACAAGGGACAAGGGAAAAGGCAGGTTTCAAATGCTATATGATATCATTTGGTTTTGGTCTGAAATGTATTTTAGTTGAACAGTTAAAAAAACAAAAAGGCAGTTCATTACTGGTATTTTATATAAAATCTGCAGAAAAATACAACAGCAACAAAAAACAAAAATACTTCACAGATATCTAAAAAAAACATTATATCAGAGATACAAGGTAAAGCAGCATCACTTTGACACTGTGCTTTAAAAATAAGATGAATGAAGAGACTGCTCTAGTGATATTAGAAAATTTGCTTTCTTCTTGAAGAAGACTACTAACATTTTGCACAGCAACTATTTTTATAACCACCTCATTTAAAAACGTGTATTCATAGACACAGAGAATTGTCATATCATTACCATTTTTGCTCAAAGTGTCTGACTTTACACAGTGAAACTGATAATGCTAAGTGTCACCAGATGTCACTATACCATGAATTCAATATTAGAAGTGAAGCAAATGCCTTTAAACCAACACCATAAAAGAAAGAATAGAAAGTGTTTTGTAAACAAAACAAACCACTTTGCAAAACAAGAGAGTTCAGAGATCTCACAGTGAAATCAGAAATCCTAATTATATATGTTTACATTCTAGGACTACTCTTTACCTCAGGCCAATTAAAGCACATTAAACCATTTAATTATATACAAACATTTTCTTAAAAAAAATTTAAAACATTGCACACAAGTCTGCTTTTTAACATCACATAACAAGGTTAGTTTTATTTTCAAAACAATTACATTTAAGGGCACAGAACATACAGAATACCAAATTAACAGATGAGTATTTTTGCTTCGCTATACATGCTAAATCCAAAGATCTTCTCAAGAAAGCTAGAGCTTAGCAACTCTAACTTCTTCCATGCATCCTGTTCTCTGAAAGGGAGCATCTCCCAACACCTCCTTTATCTTAGGATTTAAAAAAATATATATCTAAAAAAAATAAAGCTGTATGTTTTAAAGTTGTAAGTATCTTCCGCTTTAAGTGTTTGTGCAGAGATCCTTTGATGGCTCTGCCCGCTTCACTGTAACCTTGTGGGAAATCCTTTTCACTACTCAAGTTACAGTACTCTCATGACTTGCATCAGAAGTCTCATGCTGGCCCTTCTGGGATTAGGGTAGAAAGGGGAACACGGAAGTGGAGAAGTAGAAAATACACAAGCGGTATATTGAAGGCCATTTTAATTTCTTACAATCTCTCACTGTTTCCTTTCAGGTATTAGTAAAAGCTAACAGGAAACATAGCAACAAAAAAACCCGAAACTTTGGCAGAGAATAACATCAAATCATTCATTTAAAAAAAAAAAAAATTAAATAAGAATAGTCTCCCAGAACGTACTATTAAGCTCTCAAGAAGCCTCTTCTTTTTTTATTTTTATTTTCTTTTTTAAATAAAAGGCTTCTAACAAATTTCTGGGAGAAAATTCAAATATCTTAACAGAAAAATAAGTTAAGGGAAATAACAAAAAAAGGTATCATTCCAAAATAAGTTTTTCAAGACCGTCGTTCTAAGCTCAAGGCAATAAATAAACCAATCGCTGCGAGACAGAAGCATGTGTCCTCCTGGATCTACCCCTGCATGACTAGCCAGTCCCTCCGAGGAGGAGGCCAGGCATTAAAATTCATGGAACTGATTATCCATTATGGGAGACACTTTTGTAGTTTTACCGGACCAAAAAGCTGGTGTTTAAACCAAAACGTATTAACCTGGGTTAACACCTCTTCCACGTAGATCATGGTCAGAAGATTAGCAAAGGCATGTTTACACTATAAAAAAAACCCTCAAGCAACTTCTTATACTAAGGTCCATAACACAGGGCAAGGAACTTGCTCACCAATAGACAGTTTGCTTGAAGCCTTATAATTTTTTTTTTTTCCCCTAATAAAGGCCTTTTATTAAGTGGTTATATGCAGCGAAGAACATTAGCAAGTTCTATGACCTTCAAGACATGAAAACAGAAGACGACTGAAGAGGCTGGCATTAGGCAGAGAGTAGCACAGAAACACATTTTTAAATGACTTAAGAGAAAAAGCACTGGAGAAATAATTTGCTTAAAAGCTTCTTCACAATAACAGGTCTAAAGATGGGGGGGGGATGCAAAGTATTACTTTATTAAGAACCTGACTGACTGCCAATTACCACTGTGATTAATGCGGCAACTGGTTAGTTTAGCAAAAGTGAGAATGCATTAACTGGGAGATGGCGTATCTCAGATTCAACAGTCAAAGGCTGCTCCGTACATTTGCGAAGGATTCAGACTCCCTACCACAGCCAAAGGATAATTAGCGGATCTGACTGCAGGTATACTGCACAGGATACAGGCATCCTGCGTATTAACTCTTTAAACAGCGTTCTCTTTAAATAGCAAATGACTTGGGGGGGGAAGAGAGGAGGAAAAACGAGCTGGGAAAAGCCGTTATAAGCAAACCATTCTTCAGGTGGCAATAAAAGCCATGCCTTCAGCTTCATAACCACGTAAGGCACCCTGGGAAAAAAGCAAGCACGGATGAAGCAATGGCAGCCAAGCAAAAGGGTCCCTGAGCTAACCTGGCTTCACAGGTCAGGTGGCAATGCGTTTGTTAATATTGAGAGCAAAGAGGACCAGCCTGGAAAATCCAAGTACCAGTCACTGATAGAAAGACACGCCAAGTTACTAAGGGACAGTGCCTGGTACACGAGTCTCATTCCCTGTGCCAAATTAGGCATATTAGCCAGATCCCAGCCTTTTCAAGAAGATATTGTTGGACTGAGACTTATCATTATCCTCCACAAGTTATTATTTTTCATCCCACTAAGATCAAATTTTGCCCTAGATTACTTTATCCTGCATAGAAACAATTAACTACGTTTTACATCTTTCTTATAGTAGCGTCCTTCCCAACTCAGCCCACTAATGAATTAACTTTGAGATGCCATTAACATATTTCACATACGACAGTTTTACCATTAAAAAGGATTTAAAATATTTTTCTGAACGAAGCCAGCCACACAAACCATAAGAAAATGTGTCTTGTCACACTGGTATTAACATCAAGACTCAGGTACGGTAACTCTCCTCTTCTACATACATTGCAACACCACTCCTACACCTATTACTGTATTTCCAGTCAGAGTAGTCTACTTTCCAGCAGCAACAACTAAACAAAGTGGAGAAAGGTGGGACATCTTGGCCTCTGTTTAAAGTCTTGGAATTAACAGGATTCAATTGATTTAAAAACAAAACCAAAACAAAAAACAACAAAAATGGGAGTTAATAATTTTATCTGAAAATGTGTATTGTACATCATAGTACTAAAAGCTATTCGGACGGCCTGCAGCTTACAGCACCACTGTACTGGAAAGCAAACCTTCTCCAGCAGCCAACGGCAGGATTAACCCAAATTTCATCTCTACAGAACTATTTCACCCATAGGTATTGGTTCTTATTTATATTATTAAATTATACTGTGCCAAGGAAACATTTCTGGACCCTTGAATCAATGCTATTGAATTGTCAGCACGGTCCCTCAGACCATTTTTGGCCCAGCCAGTTCGTGCTCTCCCAAACAATTCCCCAGATGAGCTCGGGAGCAAAGACAACTGGAGGAATTATTTTTATGGGAAGCCTGGATATGACCACTGTCCTGGAGGGTAAGGGAGTTTAATACTACGAGTGCAGCCACACACCGTTGGCTGGCCTCTGCGCCCGAAAACAGGCCCTGACTTGGTTTAGCGTAGGGGCGAGAGCACCCAGGATGGCAGCACGTTCTCCTGCTTTACCAAGGGGGAAGTGGACCGAGCTCTGCAACCTTACGGTCTGCTGAGCTCCACCGACTTGCTGCACACGTCCTCCACACCTGGAAACTGCTCATCCCTGCCTCGGGCATCCATCCTTCGGGAGAAAAGAACCTCAGCATCTCGAGACCTACTGGTCGTCTGTGATCGCCTGGGAAAAGTGTCACTTTTTTTTGAAAAATCATAAGGGCAGACCTCAATTGCCGACACAGATTACGACTGCACGCATTCCTTTTCTCCTGGCACAGAATCCCTCAGGAGTCACTCCTTAAAAATAGAAGGTTTGACAGGGTGAAAGGGGAAGTGGGAGAAGACATGAGGCAAAAGGATTCTGGAAATAAGGACCACTTCCACCTCTTTCCCCCACTTCCCCTTCCTCTTGTCTTCCCACTTGTTTTTCCTCCCCTTACAGACTCAGTATGCAGCAGAGGTAGGGCTGCAGAGTATTTCCTTCTAGACATACACAGCAGAGGAAAACAGTTATTTTTCAGTGTGCTTACCAAACTGAAAACATGCAAAGTCTCACACTTCTCTTTTTCCCACATGGTAGAACCTACGTACAGATTTTTCTCTAAGAGGAGGCTAACTAATTATGTCCTAAAGATTTGGGGACTGAAGAGGCTGAATATATACTCCTCTATTTCAACATACTACAAAACCCAAATAAAGAGTATGCTTTTTTTACTTTCCCCTCTCCTCCATTGCCAGTTTGTCATCTCCAGGCTGTTGGTTCTTTTTTTTTTTTTTTTTTTTTAAAAAAAACTTTTTTTTTTTTTTTTTTTTTTTTTTCTTTAAATACAGCAACTTCTCAGTAATGGAATTTACAGTGGATAAAATCAAAGGACAAAAATTTTCTTACAGAGAAAAAAAAAGATAGAGAGCTACTAACAGCTATCATGTTTTAAGTGCTACAAGATGAGACAAAATATCATCCTGTTGTTGCCATAAAAGAAATGAGAAACTGAAAAAAAACTAGAAGCGGTGAGCAAAATTAAAAAGTGCTAAGTTGGCCAAGGTAATATAGCTGTGTTACAAAGAACAACTACACATCGCAGCCTTACATTTAAAAAAAAAAAAAAAAAAATCTTTCGACACAGCTTTAATCATTTAGATTTTACACATCGGTAAATGATTACTTGTTATCTGCACCCTAATGCTGACTGAGCTCTGTAACTGCCTGACTTCAAACACAGCCACCTGCCTGCCTTTGGTATATTTATACATGTATACATGGAAAAACAAAAGGTTAGTACTGCAAATGGAAAAAAAAACAAAGACTAAAGGGGAAAAAAGAAAAAGACATGACACGACACGTTCTGCCTTCAGCAGAGATAGGACAACATGTCTCAAATGATCTCTAAATAGGCTAAAGTTGAGTTGATCTTACAATTATAGCGTAAACAATGCCTGGGTTGCAGTTATGTTATTTGAAAAGAAAAAAACCAAAATAAACAAACAAAAAAAACAAACAAAATCTCCAGAGACCTGTATCAACTTCTGTATGTTTAGCCATACCCTTAAAAGTTCACTATTCACTCACAAAGAGAAATAGACAAACATGAATATTCCAAGCGAACAGACACAGACCAGTCCAGTATTTAGTAATAGTTTAACTTTTGGAGTCTCTTCCAGCATTTGTAAACAAACAGTCTCTTCCTCGATCTCCCGAACAGCTCTCTTGTTCATGTTTTTACTTTTAAAGCCACAGAACCAATCTATGAATTTCAAATGTCTCTCTCTATCATCAGTCTCTTCCTCGTGCTTTTTCTCCCCCATCAAAGCCGCTTGTCCGTTCGAATAACAATCAACTGGTGTCTCAACTTCAGAGTGACTCACAGAAATCACTGGGTTGCTGTCATCTCTGCAAGTAACCAGAAGATTGATATCCTCCGGCTTAATATTTTTAATATTTTCTTCCGATTTGCCGTTTGGAATGATATGGTTAGCGTTTTCATTGCACTTGAGGATGCTCTTTTCTTGCACTTTGTACAGCTCCCCCTTTGCGGCATTCTCTTTTACGTTCCTGTTTTTCACGGCCCAGAAAGTGGTCGTCCGAACCTGCTCCTTCGTGGGCGGAGGCGTGAGGAGGCTCACTACAAAGGTCACAATCCCAGTGATCCAGAACAGAGCTGTTGCAACATACATGTAATGGATGTTTTTGATAAAGCTTGGCCTAGTATCCGGCTGGTTACACTCCGGAGCACGATAGATAAACGCCAGTATCAACCGTATCGCTCCAAGAACAAACCCGGCCATTCCACCATAGAAAGCCCCCTGCTCATTGCAACGCTTCCAAAAGATACCCATAAGAAACAGAGCAGCCACCGGTGGGGTCAAATAGTCTGCTACCTCTTGAATATAAAGGTACATCTGACCACCTTGCATTTCTACAATTATCGGGACCCAGGCAATGCTTATAACTACCATGAACGCAACAAAGACTCGTCCTACAATCATCAGTTCTCTAGATGTCGCGCTCTTCCGAATGAGTTTGTAGACGTCAAGCGTGAATATGGTGCTGGCACTGTTGAATATCGAGTCCAAGTCACTCATCAGTGCAGCGATCATCACAGCCATCATCAGTCCCCGCAGACCAACCGGCACAAGTTTCATCACCAAACGTGGGTAGGCAATGTTAGAGCATCCAGCTCTGCTCCCGCAGACTTGAAAACAGTGTTCCGGATTAATGCAGGCGATATCATCCGCAAACAGTATTCGTGAAATCATCCCTGGGACAACTATAATAAACATCGGCAGCAACTTTAAGAAGCCTGCCATCAGAGTGGATCCTTTGGCATGAGCAATGTTTTTTGCAGCTAAAACTCTCTGAACTATGACTTGATCGGCACACCAGTACCAGACAGAAGCTGGGGTCTGTCCCAACAGAAATCCAGGCCAGGGAATGTCTTCATCTGTTGGCTCGCGCAACATTTTAAGAGCATCAGGCTTTGGGTCGACATTGCAGGAATTGGTATTGGAAATGTTGTAGGTTAACAAGATAGACGTAATATTTGGCGATGCTAACATGTACCTTCTTTTAACTTCTTCAAACCCACCAACCTCCGTAATACTTATGATCATAAGTGTGAGGGCACCAATAATCATAAGCAGAGCTTGAAGTGTGTCTGTGTAGATGACAGCCACAAGACCTCCAGTCACAGTCAACAGTGCAGTCATTCCAATAAGGAGGATAACTGACAAATAGAGGTTCCAGCCTAGAGATTCTTGAATAAAAAGTGCCCCTGAATACAAGTCAACTGAGAGTTTGGTGAAGATATAAAGAATTAGAGACAATGCTGCAAAATATATTTGAATTCTATGCCCTCCAAAACGCTTGGACAAGTATTCAGGCATGGTGTATACTCCCGACCGGATGTAGACTGGGACGAAGACCCATCCTAAAAGCTGCAAAAGCATTAAGGCGTTGAATTCCCATGCACCTACTGCAAATCCACTTGCCGCTCCAGATCCTGCGAGCCCAATGAAATGTTCACTTCCAATATTGCTCACAAATAAAGATGCACCAATAGCTACCCAGGTCATAGAACGCCCTGCCAAAAAGTAGCCACTTACGGTGCTCCGATTGTATTTCCACATGGCAAAAAAACCTATGCACATTACAAGCACGAAGTACAGTGCCACAATGGCAATGTCTGCTGTTTCCAAAGAAGCCCTCATTTTTGTAAACAAAATGACTTCGCACAGCTGACGTCCACTTCTCGCCCCCCAGCAAACGTCTTTTAAGCAACACGTGAACCAGTTAACATATATCAACACTGTGGATCAAATTCTTTGTCCCTTGGTTTGCTGTCCTGATGCTGGTGGTTGTGGTACATTTACTTTCTCCGCTTCTCAAATGGAAATTTGGAACTTAGCACGCACTTTTAATCCACATTCCACAAGAGCATCAGCCTTAACTCAGTTGATGTAGGAGAAATTCTTAGTTGCAGCTAAGTTTAGTGAGGCCTACTGTACCAACCCTGCAAGGCAGCAAAGACAAAAGACAAAGATTGAATTAGAGAAGAATTTCATGAAGTAATGAGAAAAAATTTGAAGTCTAGTAAAACAATGACTGAACACCACAGATTTTTTTCCCCCTTATATTTCCTACTGCATTTATGCAATCCATAATACACATAATTAAGTATTTGTGAAACTAAGTAGTAATGCCTTTTACAAGTCAACTTTCATGTTTACAAGTACCTTAAGGGACGCAGCAATTCTGGAGTATTAAATGACCCAAATTCCCCAGAACAAAGCAAGGAACAGAAATACATTTTTATTTTCTTTAGAGTCTCACAAGTCTACTTCTCAAGCCACTAAACAGGCCTTCCTCTTTCAAGCAATCTTACGGGGGAGGAAAAAAAAAAAAAAAAACAACAAACCCAAAACACAACCGCTAAGGAGCGTTAACCTGGCTAGTCATGTCCTGTATTGCTCTAGCACCACACCCCACAAATCTTGATAGATCCTGGCATCACATGCATGCACTTGAGACACCAGCTGGCTGCTAGAGCTAAAAATCGAAGTGAAGTCACAACGCTGTCAAAAAACAACATAAATTTAAGATCAGCTGAAGAACCAAGGTTATTCCGCAGGTTTTAAGCGAGTTTGCACCTGTCTGGGGTACAGATGATCACAGGGTTACATTTTACTATGAAAGCTCTTCATATATATCCCATGTAATCTAAGTGAAGAAAAAGTCCCACTCAAGCAAATGACAAAAGCAAAACTACACCTGACATCCGGCTTTAGGGTATTTCTGTCTGCCATGTGCCTTTTGATACCTACACCCGTGTGGTTTCAGGATTTTTTGGGAGCACCCTAGGCACAGGAGGGAGAACCGCATGGATTTGGGTAGCAGTCACAGTTGGTAGGATGCCAGTAAGCGCTGTTCCCAGCACCTTCCATCTGCATCCAAGCATGAAGAGGATGACTAACATCAGAGGTAGAAGGTTTTGAGGCAAAGCATACCCTGCCGCTCTATTCCTGAACCCCCAATCACACCCAATTCTTCCAAAGCATGTCAGGAAACATGTACTCATTTAGGCAAGCAGGATTGAAGCGCTCAAAGTGGAGGGAAGGGGATAATAAAAAGACTTGCTGGCAGACAACCGGACAGGTGGGAAAGGAAGGGGCACTGAAGAGCTACACACTGGCTCCTACCTCTGCCATGGAGATACGATGCTCCTATCTCCTATTTATGCCCTGGGAGGTATCATTTACCTATACCCACTCAAAACCATTTAATGGGTTTAGAGAGCACAGCAAGGGAAGAGAAGACCAAAGCAAAGAACTGGTTTAGTCTAAAGATCAGAACACAAATCTTTAGTATTCAAGATTATTACAGAAGAATAAGGAACAGAGTCTGACTCCATTCCTCTTTCCCACCCACTGGTAAAGGTAATTCAGGCACAAAAAAAATAGTTTTTCTGACCATAAGGTCTACCAGCCTTAGAAGTCTTATAAGCATCAGCTTCAGGCATTCCCCCTTCCACTTCATTTGCAGAAGTGCTTTGGCACTATGCTGAAGCTCACATTTCCCTATTAATTCATCTGTGATTAATACAAACACCCAGATAACATATTCTAGTATTTGGGTGGTTTCCTGTTTAGCATCCCTGTAGCATACTCGTTTTGTTTAAAAGAGAGTAAATAAAAACATTACGAATTCTCAGGTAGGCCATAATAAAAACTATAGTTAAGGTTGAAAATGCACACACTTCCCCCTCTGCCTTACTTTGTGCGTTACTGAAGGCAGCAACGGTGCTGATGTAAGAATGTGCACTTCTCATTAAGGCAGATATATTTTAAAAATAGCTTACAGCAAACCACAACTTCAGCCTTAAGGAGAAATTCACAATCATGTTATTCGTACGAGCTGGCTGTTTTTCAAGAGTAGTTCAGAATCAAAAAAGATAATAAGGGTTCCCCACCACCACCACAAACCCACATGAGAATACAGATATTCATTCTGCTGGAGTTATAGCCAATAACGAGAGACTATGGAGACATGGCACAAAATGGACTGATTACAGTAGTGTGCTAAATTTATCATGCTCATAAGCCTCAGACCACAGATGTATTTTAAATTTTTCCATAGAAGAATTCACATTTATCCCCACCCGCAAATGCAGCGGAAGTTAAATGGTCTATTAGTTTAATCCAACACAAAATTATAAACACTTCAGATCATATGATGCCATCAGATACAAGTATAATGTACTACTCAAAAGTGCTTAAAACTAAGAATAACACTTTAATAGTGTTGCGTCTTTTACTAGATTCAGCTAAATTTTCAAATGCAACTACATTATAATGTTTATACCAAAACTATAAATATTCTAAGGAAAAGGGAGGAAGAGATTTTACTCAGACACAGTGGAAAGAAGAAAAACTACTATACAGAAAATTAGAATAACGGGCAAGCTAAAGAAATAGTAATAACCGATATTTTCCCTCTTCTATTGTCCTGCTCTGTTACTGAAAAATGTTAAAGGCTTGAACTTTAGTTCACTTCCCACCATCTTCCCTGTAGGTTAATCAATGACCTTGCCAAAGCTATACTATACAGTAATATGCATAAATCACAAAAATATTTGTTAAAACTATGTCTATTTGCTACAAGAGATACCCAGCTCACAGTATGACTATTACAAGCATGTTCAATCCCTCTGAAAAGCGTGTAAGTAGAAGATGCAGCTGCCCTTGAATAAATTGTGACATTTCTCAGTTAGGATGCCTGCCAAACTACAATGGGCTCATTCTAACCAAAATAAACAATATGTGAAGTTTCTTGAGCATTTTGCACTGGGAGGTACCACCAGACCATGCATTTGAAATAAACAGTCTACAGAGACCTGAACCATCACCTTTGTAATCAACATCTGAATTTTGCAGGGTTCAGCTTGCTTGAGCAGGAAGGTGGGAAGTTTTCAGTAGCTGCTACAAATTTGCTGCACTGTCACTAAATTACTGTACTAAAGTAGCTTCTTGTACCAGTTTCTTATTAGACCTAATTCTAAAATAACCCTGGAACTTTTTTCATTACGAAAATGAGACTCGTCCCTCTGAACTTTCAGCAAGTTATGACTTTAAGTCTTAAGAAGGACTTTTGAGACGGCCCATGTGAGTTTAATCTCAAGTTATTAGAACAGCATACATTGTGGCACTGACAGAAAAAAAGACAGAAAGACAGCGCTGCTGCCAAGGACTGTGAATTTTTTTCCCTAAGGCTGTTTTCTGCATGGATCATATCAAAGACACAAAACAATGCGCTTCCCTCTTGTCTGAAGCTAGAGGGCTACAGCTTTGGTGAAACAATGCATATGTCTCTCCAACAGGCAGCCTGTCCTTTAAGGAGGAAAAAAAGTCTCAAGAAATTCCCTGAAGAGGTATTAGATAATGCGAAGCAGATTTAGGGTGGGATTTTTAGGAGAAATTTGTATGGTTGTTTTAAAGGAAAACTTTCTCCACAGTGCTTTTCTAGTAAGACGGGTCTTTAAATATGCCAGAATCAACCTGCTCCAGCCCTAAAGCAACTATTTGTTTTCTGCTCACTCTATTTCTCTTTGCAGCAGATGGGAAGTTTCTCAGTTGACCTCCCTTTTCTCTTACAGTTTAAGAATCAGTCCCAATGGCCAACACTTTAAGGGTTAATTTGAGGATGCAGATGCCCACATATCACACAGGAGTGTCCACTGCTATCATTTGTTAGTTAGCAAACTAAGTACATACTTAACTTTGCTCATAGACTTCAAAGTAGTTTTGAGATTCTTTCTTAGAAGCAACATTTTTCTTCTCCACCTTCTTCAAGCAGGGGTATGTTAACTCATACTGGTAGCATTTTACCTACTGAACAACTCACTTGCATGGAAGAAATGTACCCAGACTGCCAAGCTCAACACCTAACAATCTCCCTCCCAGAAAAAAAAAAGAATAAAAGTCTTATGCCTTGAGTAGGCCTGTACAATATTCAACCCCTCAAGTGTGTTGTCTGGCCTGCTCACACTGCAGGCTACCTACTACGGACACGCAAGTGAGCTCCTACCTGTCCACTGCTCCACAGTAAACACAAGGTTGTCCGAGGTAGCCTCTCTCTCAGGGGAAAAAAAAAAAAAAAAAAAAAAAGAAGAAAAAGCTTTGTTCCATTTATTGCAGCACTCTAGAACACAAAAAAAAGGAGCACAAATGTTCTTCATGGAATAGTTGATACATATCAACTTATCCTTATGTAGTACATGCCCTTGAGAAAGCAGGGGCTATCCTTGCCAGCTGCTCAACAGAGCCCTAGACAGCCAGGGCCGCAGTTTCAGGACTTTCCCTTGTAAAGCAGGAGCTGGGGCAGAGGAGCCAGGCAGGAATCCCACCTGAGACAAAGAGGGCACGTCATAGGAAGCAGGAAAGCTCAGAGGCAGAAGTTGACCTGTAGCATCTAACAAGTAACTTGAGTCAAGGTCCGGACTGGCATTCCCAGCAGCTCAACAGGCTGGAGTAGAAGAGTACCACATTTACAAGTTACCTGTACCAGCAGTGACCTGACTAACCTGTTTGCCAGATGTGCTCTGCTGCCCCAAAGTGGTACTGCATCAACGCTTCTGCTGGCCTTGGAGAACACAGGTGCCGCAGAGGCAACTCTATAAATCATCACTACCACAAAAGTCCAATTTGAGGTGCAAGGTTCAAGTCAGTCACTCAAAGCAGTTGGTGTGAACACATAACGCACTTTTTTTTTTGTCTGGGGTTTCAGGAATTGCTCCAGTTCTGGTCTTCATTTTACTGCAGCATCAGAAAAAGAAGCTTGCTCCACAATACATTCTTCTCGATTCTTTTCTAAAGGACTGCTGAAGAAGACATGAGAGAAATAAGTAACTTCACAGCATGCAGTTCAGCAGAAGAAACAGAGAACTACGCTGCATTTGCCAGTCAGAAATGTAATGCTAGCATGGACTATTACAGAAGCAGTTAGTGGAGTATTGTAAGGCCAGCTGAAGGACACTGTGACTGACAGTGTTAGAGTAGTAGATCAATTTAGTTGGTTTTGGTTTTAACCATTCTTCCCCCCCATCCCAAGTATATACACCTATTTAGGTCTCCCACCAAGTCACAAATTAAGGGGG